AAGGCATATTTGAGCAACATGTACGTGTTGAGCATCCCATTCAGGACACCACCCCCGAGCAGCATGTCTCTTACCGTGCTTTTGAACGCAAAGAAGCGACCGCTCGTAGAAGCAATGGTTCTACACGAAAGCAGAACTTTGAGGGATGACATCCGAGCAACGTCTCGGCCGATGAGAGCCTCCCACGGCAAAGGCCTTGGCAAAACAACCAAAAGATCGTCGGCTATTAGCCGGGACTTGCAGATCTCGGAATGCGGGTTGTTGCGGTACTTACATGTATGATCATTATGATTACTTTCAGGCTCGTTTTGGCGTGGCCAAACAAGCCCATTGGTTTTATGCCGGTTTCCTTCGCAGTGCCGAAAGACGGGGCCCCAGTTTCAAACTGTACCCAAGTTTTCGTCACGAGGCCCACGGTGCCAGAGGCGCGGGGAATCGGGAAGCTGACGCTTCGAGTTTGCCCTGGCATTCCATTGGCATCTCACACGAGTTTTCGGAGGCTTAAAAAATAACCTTCCAATCCTTTAGGAAGTTGGCACAGGAGCAAAACGTGGCAACTCGGTCGAAGAAATTCAGTCATGGCGCTTTGTTGGCCGTGCTTTGGGTTCGTCCACATGCGTTTCCGCGTCGGCGTGACTTGCCATCCAACGCCATAAATTCTTCGGGCCTTGATTTAGACAGATTCAGTTCGGGTCTTTGTCCTTGCCTCATGTATCCTAAAGCCGCTTCTCTCGGTCCTTTGCCTTTTTCCCTCTCAAAAAGAACGCGGCTGTGTATAATCTACTGGGCATTTTCTCAACGCAGGTTTTCAAGACGCAACTTGAATTTGAGGCATGGGTTCACATTGTAACTCCGGCTAATGGAATGAGTGGAATAATCGACTTTATGTGGATTATGTTTGAGCCATCAGAGGGGCATGGTCTTCCATAGAGGTGCAAGTGTCGACTATCAGTTCTGCACAGAAACCGCGCCGCGCTTGGAGGACACATTGGACATCGCGCTTGCAGTTATCTCTAAGATTAGTCATCAAAACAATCCACAATTAAACTAACCCCTGTTCTCAAAGCAAATGGTGATAGGTTCCTTCTTTCACTTGCGCTTCAGGTGCCTCCAGCTGCGAGTCCCGAGTCGAGACTTGGCAAGATGCTGGGACGAAGGGTATAAACTTGCTTTGGCTGCCTCTCCCGCATGGCACCTAGAGGTATCTCAAGGATCAGTTTCCTCTTACAGAAACTCCCCCCCTGTCAGCTGCCACGTCAGGTGGAAGAACAGATACTTACGCATGCCAAGGGGCTCGAATGTCAACGCAGATCGACATGGGGGCATTGTGTGTGTGTTGTTGTTTTGGGTTTATGCCAAGTTGCCGGGGAGTAGGTAGTGCGAGACCGGAGAATGACGGCCTAAGAAGTCTAAAGAAGGTTGGGAAAATACATGTCATTTAGTGTTAAAACCCTCCTGGCCCCGTGCCTAAATTGGGAAGCCGTTCTGAGGTCCATGTTCTTGTTGATTGAAGTGTTCCATTGGACGCCACTTTTGGCTCAAGTTACAAGTAGGGCTCAAGGTCTTGCATGAACAACGTTCACCTGTGATCGATCCGTGTGAGAGAAAACAGGTTCAATCGCGCTGCTGACATCGGACGTGTGTGAGGTTACTGGACAACACCCCCTTACAACAGTTTGCACTGGTTTGGCTATAACGGTTTGGGCCGTATACCCTTTCTACGTGGTTGAGTACATTCAGCTTGAGGCTCGGTGTACAGCGTCCCACGGGACGTCACCTTGCCATCTCTTGACAGGTTATCAGCTGTATCGCAAGCTCTACACTGGACGGAGAGACAGCTAGTTTATTGCGGGTACAGAAACTACAGAAGTACAATAACCCACACAGTACAATGGCGTCTTCAGCGGGCCCAAGTACTGCAACTTTTGGGAACGACAGTTCGGAGGGATCCAATGGATTGATGGCTCTTCCTGCGGTAATGGATATGGTCGCAGATTCGCAGGATGAACCTGGGAGCGGTGGATCCGCACTATTCAGCGACGTATCTACGCCAGCGAGATCATGGAATCAAGTAGCTATTCATCAGGAGTCGAAGCAGAGAGATTCTCCGCCGAGAAGATCATCATCTTCGCCAGCGACCCCACGGGCGTCGCAGAAGAGCGTGAGGTCAGCGTCAAAAGGTGGGAGATCCAAATCGCCCACTAGTGCCGATTTTCGCGCTGCAATCAAAGAAAAGAACAAGATGGAGATGGAGATCGGGGAATATCAGAAGACACTTGATGAAATGTCAGCGGCAATGGCTAATCTTCATCAAGAAGACTATGGAAGCACCATCCGGATCCAGGAGCTGGAGAGACGATGCGAGATTGCCAGCAAGCAATCGGGGCATCTTGTGAGTCATCACCAACACCACATGGCGGAAGCCTGGCGCAAGTTTGAGGCGGAAGCCCAACAGATGCGTGAGGCAGAGATGAACGCATATCAGTACGGGGAGAAGAAGGACATGGAGTCGAATGCAATGATGCAACAGATGAGACAAGCCGAGGGAATGATCATGGAGCAAAACCAAAAGATTGCAGTGATGAGATCCTACATGGCAAGCGAGAAAGCAGCCGCGCAGGAGTCGGCTACACATGCAACTCAGATTCACCGTGAAGCTTCGCAACAGATTTCCGTTTATCAACAACAGATCAGAGGGATTGAATCGTCTACGTCTATCGAAAAGTTCAACGAGGAGGAGATGGTTCAGAGCCTAAAGTCACAGTTGGAACATGCACTGGTCAAGCGTCCCGAGATGTACTCGTTGGAGGACTCCAGGGAACAGCTGATGACGAGACTGAATGACGTGACAACATTTGCGGAGCAGGAATCGAAAAGAGCAGACTGCTTGCTTCGTGAGAAGGAAGAAATCGTCAAACAGTATGAATCCGATGTGTCAAAGAAGGATCAGATGATTGCTATCGAGGGTGGCCATCGACAGGATGCTGTCTTTATTGGCCCAAGTCAGGGAAGCAACACAAGAAGAACGATGTACGATGAACGAGAAGTTGAAAGAAGCCGAGTTCTGGAAGTCGACAGCTAAAGGGATGCGTGATGAGTACCTCGAAGAAATGCGCAAGCTTCAGGAACAACTGAAAGATCGGGAGACGACGCTCAAACAGGAAGAGAGCTTCGTTCGCCAGCTCGACGCGGACAATGAGGAACTCATGACATTCAAGAAGCTGGAGATACAGGAGGCCTCGAGCAAGAAAGACGAACATCGTGAACGAGCAGTAGTGAATCGCCTTGAGGGAGGACCCCAAATTAATTCGGTTAGGGAAGACAAGAGGATGGCCGGGACATACCCGTCATCGTCATCCAATTCGATCCCTAATTCGTCACTAGTGCCGGGTTCGATTCTCTTTCCGGCTTTTGGCGATCCGATGATCGATGTACACCTATCACAGATGCAAGGGGTTGTCGGGATAGTCCCACAACCTACGACTACAACCGGTGGTGGTGGTAATGGAGGAGGAAACAACGGTACTACACCTCCATTGGGTTACAACGGATTCTCACCCAGCGGGAACCACAACAGGGACCTGGTCGACGTCATTTGAGTCTGACAGGTGGTGGGGGAGGACCTCCAGATGATCCGCCCGATGATGAGGACGAAGATGACGAAGAGGATGAGGAAGACGAGGAAGAAGAAGAAGACAGTCGGACGCGGAGGGGACGCAGACGACTGAGGGATGATCGTGAGATCAAGAACGAGAGACCGAGGATTTCAAGGAAAGAGGCTGAAAGGGTATCCATTCCCACTTGGCCGAAGATCCATCAGCTCGATAACTGGAAGATGCAATTGCTGATGAATGTGCTGAGTGCATGCGCAGATCCAGATACCGACGCATGGACAAAATGGTTGGAACAGGCTCTCGGGTTAAACCCAGACCTCAATTTACTAAGCAATTCAGGCGGTGACAGATTCGCTACAATCGACATCAAGATGGCCATGGGCATGCAGAACATGCTGAGACAAGCACCTGACGAAGCTAAGGATGTATACCTCGATGTCACAAGACATTCGGAACTACGACACCAACAAGGGGTGATCGTGAAGGGACGAGAACTGGTGGCATTGGTCATGCAATCATTCAGGACGTCTGATCGAACGGACCTTGTCTATCACATCGAGCACCTATTCAACCTCGACTTCCCTGGGGCAAGAACCTGGTTGTGTTCAGGAACAAGTGGTATGATTTGCTGCTAAAGATGAGAAACGAAGACAGACCCAGTCCATTGGCACTGAGAGATATCCTATACAGGAAGATCAAAGGGAGCAAGAAGATGGAGTTCGGCCTCAACGCCTATCACAGGTTGCCGGACAAACATCCTCAGAAGTCGTACGAATTCTTATTGGCATTGATTGACCACCAAATCAAGTCGGATCGGGAAGATCTGATGCTTGACATGAAGGAGAAGTCGGTCAAATCAATGATGAAGTCAGGCGGCAAAGATGCAGCTCCGGCTGCTGGCAAACAGGAGGGCCAGAATGGCAAAGGAAAAAAGGGCAAGTCCAATGGACCTGACGCCGCTCCTGTGCTCCCGAAGGCCAAAGCAAAGGGTCACGCTGGCAAGAACGGCAAACCCGATGGTGCCAACGACAGGGGCAAGAGTCCGAATGGAAACAAAGAGAATCCATGTTGGTATCGCTTCAAAGCGGAGAAAGGGTGCTTGAAGGGAAATGAATGTCCATTTTCTCACAGCAAGAAGACGGAGCACAAGCTGGAGAACATATGGAGAACATATGGTGAAAGGAAAAGGGAAAGGAAAGTCCAAATCCAGATCGTCCTCACCGAAGAAGGAGGATGGAGTGTGCTACGCGTTCCAGAAGGGAAAATGTGAGAAAGGGAGTGCTTGCAAACACAAGCATGAGCTCATCAAGAACAACTCGGCTCCGGCAACGTCAGGAGACAAGGCACAAGCCAAGTCAAAGGCTGCCCCCAAGGCCGCAGCACCAGCGATTGTGAGAAGGGCCATCGCCATGCCTGCGATAGTCTTGAAGCAATCGGTCCCTGCGGGAAAGGTCAGCTTCAAGAAGGACGTTGATCAAGTTGAACCGGATGAGACCGAGACTGTCTACCACGAGCGTGATGACGATGTCATGAGTGAGTCGTCAAGATGGTCCGGCGAGTCCGAGATCCCCGAGAAGATGGTATGGTTCAAAGAAGTACTCGAAGTCGACGAGAATGGGGAGGTCACCTATCTTGAAGACGAGAGTAGGCAATGGGAACGAAAGGGAGAATGGTATGGAAACGAGGATGGTTCTTACCAGTACGTGCACATCGATGAGAAGAAGTTCAATGGATAGTGATCATCGAGAATTATCAGCCTATCAAGTCCAACGATCATTGATAAGAGCGAGGATACTGGAAGAGGTGGTGGATGATGTTTACAGAAAACACTACTTTCCGGTGACCAAGGAGAACACCATCGTGTTTGAGTATGATCGGGTTGAGGACGAGATCAAGGAAGCGGTTGTCGATTGGAAGAAGCAACATGGTATGCCGAAGAATGTGTTCGCAATGTCGACATGAATTAGCAGAAGGGTGAAGTGGTTAATGGACACCGGATGCGGTCATGATCTCATTGGACGAGCCAAGGCGAAGAGCCTAGGCGTCGATATCGTGAAAGATGACGATGAGATTGTGTTCCAGACAGCAAATGGTTCCACATCCACATCCGACGTGGCCAAGATAGTCGTGGACGAGTTGGACGAGACTGTCGAACCACATGTGTTGGATGAGACGCCCACAGTATTGTCGATAGGGAGAAGATGTATGAAGATGGGGTATGCTTTTCACTGGATGCCTGGTAAACTACCTTTCATGGTTACACCAAAGCAGGGATTCGTACACCTACAGGTCAAGGACGACATTCCGTACCTGGCGAGCGATGGCAAGCTTCGGAGTAACAGACATCGCCCTACGATCGACGACCTCAAAGGACACTTCTCAGAGGTCCTGGCGTTGGTCACGAACAATGAGGCAGATCATGACGATGATGATGAAGATGACATTCCCGCCGCTGCAGGAGAATCTGCAGAGGTCCATGGTGAACATCATCATGGAGCATTCGATTTCGGACCCGG